CATCCAACTCAACAAGCTGTGCCCGTCTCTCAGCAGCCTTCTTTCTGATGAATATGCCCCATCTAAGGGCTGCCTTGAGCTTGAGCCAGCCAACAACAGCTTTCCCAGACGAACGGCTATGATCATCATCAACACTGTAGTTCACTTGTGGAGTGGGCACGTATGGTGACGAATATGGATAATTGTCTTCAGTGATGTTCATGGAGGCATGACCATAACCGTGGCCTTGACCCTGACCGCCCATGTTAAAGATATGAAGTAGACGCTGCATATCTTCATTTTCGAGAATCTCGTGGCTCCTCATACGAATTTCTTCCTCTGGGAAGAGATCCTCGGCTCCCCTATAAGAAGACGGATTGGATGTACCAATATTCTGGAACCCAGATGTGGACGACTGTGGTGGACCAAGGGCAAGCATGTTTTCATTTCTTTGAAACTGAGCCTGGTGTGAAGTGATAGGCTGCTGATTTTGTAGAGGGAATGGCAAGCCATCGAGCTGACTGGGAGCACTGAGATTTAGATTCTGTGACTCTACCGAGAATCTGTTAGCCATGCCGTCAGTATAACCTAGAGAGAAAAAGACCATTTACACACATTAGCAACGGATGTTTATCCAAAACACACAAGCCACTTACGAAAATCACAAATTTTCAGGTTGGTAGCCGTGACTATTAAAAGAATAATGCAAGCACCGAATATTCTTATTTGTGTATAATGACCCCCAGGCTTTGGTCCCGGAGGCTGAGGATTAAATTTTGTTAGAAAGTAATTAGATACAATTATTTTGTCGCAAGATATACCTCCCACATTTAGGCCAGAATCCATAGTAGGCGGTTCTGAAGAAACTGAAGCTGGCAGGCTAGGTAGAGTGAACTGCTGATCAAATGAGTTTGGATAATCCTGCGAGGCCGTTGGGACCTCAGATAGAGAAACATCGGGACTCTTCTCCTGCTTAAGAAGAGACTTTCCATCGTACTCCATAACATGCATCCAGTTCTCATATGCCTTTGTTACCAAACCGTCCACGTAGACCTGTAAGAAACACAAAAATTCACAAATCAACCACTTTGAGGGGTCATGGCTCATTACTACTTTGTATCATTTTAGATACATTAACCAGGGATGTAACCTGTTCAGTCAAAAGAGTGTTGTTTACAGATAAAATAGCAAATGCATATGGACTGGATTCTTAAGTGCGAAGGGAACTCCAATATGGACAAAATGAATCCTATCTCAATAAGTTTACAAGCTTTACAACATTTGACAAGTAGCATCACTCAACCACAAGAAGGAACACGAAATTATAAAACATAGCAAATCCAGACACTATAAAAGATACATGAAAACAGGAAAAGAGAAGTCATATACCTTCTGAGCGTCCGAGAGAGAATCAGCTGAGTAAAATTGTTCATTGGTAATTAGGCCACTCAACTCGTAGATATTGTTAAAAACAACACCAACGTTCCTTGCATCCTCAGGATAGTAGACATAGAGTTTCCCGCCTAGAAGACAGGTTTTTGCATGCTGTATGAGTACATCCCACATCTTATTCGACATGCCACTTCCAAGAATCTATCACAAATGGGCATAAAAAATATTAGGAATTGCATTTTCGAAATATGAACTTGACAAACAAATTCCAAAATCTTACATTCCGCAATCTCTGCGAGTCTCTAACCACAAGTCGCAGGAAGTCTTCAACTGTAACAATTCCAGCTTTATTCAGTCTCTTGTGGAATGAGCCATCTTTTCCAATTTTCTCCAATCTCCAGACCTCATCATTTAACGCAGGAGGGTAGTGTTTCTTGTATACTGTAAAAACCAAAAGAAAACTTGCCATGTTTATTTTTTTTTCAACTAACAAAGGAAATGTTAAATAACACTAATTATTAACTCACATTCCCCACGGTGATCCTTAACAGTAAAGGCATCTGTTTTTGCTTCGCGTATACGAATGTTGTCGCAATAGCCTGAGGCAACTTTCAGTCCTAGCCTAAACTTCCTGCTCCTAATCCAGCTAGAATTATCGGTAAATGTCAATTCCCCTAGTGTTCCTACACCTTCCTTCAGTGTCACTTGCAGATCGCCAGTAAGAAGTGGCCTCTTCCCTTCACGCTCTTTTACTACATGGCTCTCAAATTCTTCTTCAGTCCAGTTCTCATCATCCTCGTTGTTAAAATCACCTTCAAGCACAACAACGTCAAGTTTCACTGCTGACTCCGGGCCTGATGTCACAACATGCTTTGTATTTGCATCAATCAAGACAATAGGGATTGCAGAACCCCACTCCCCTTCTACTTTTCCACCAGTAAAAAGAGGAAGGGACAACCTGGACCTAAAGTGCAGCTGCAAGTCACGTCCATCGGGCCCTCCAATTTGTTTAGGAGAAGACCTGCTATTTTTAAACCCATTATAAGAACAAAACTACTGGCATGCAGCACTGATTAAATGAAGAAAAAAAAGGGAAACAACCATGGATCAGAACCCATTAAAAATAAGGGATGAAAGGGGTTGATACCTTCCAGTAAGTTTGGCAGGGCCTAATTTTGCTAAAGCACGCTCCACCTCTTCACTAACCTGTTCAGCAAAATAAGTAAGAAACATCAACCAATGCTTCAAACACCGTATGCACATATCAAAGGATTAAATCCTCTTCACTAGGCATGCAATTAAAAATTTGTCAAGCAGTTACAAAGTCATACACACCAATACTTTATCAAGAGCCCTTATGACTTATAGTAGGCATTCAGCTTGCCTTCAACACAGACACTTGTTGACAGCTGAGTCTTTGACACAAACGAAATGCCTCTTTTCTATGTCCGATGTTTAGGTCAGATAAATTTGCCACTAAACAACGCTTCACCATTTTTGTATGCGTATGACGTAATGAAAAATAACATAGAGCAGCCAAATAAAAAAACAATTAAAAGTCATTTAAACCTCTTCTATCCAGTGACGGATTAGAAAGCAAAAAGTCCATAAGAAATTAGAATGTCTTACAACTCTGCGTAGAATCGGCTCCAGTGACGAGCAAAGCTTCTGCAGACTATCCACCTTGAGAGCTTCAACAATTACACTGCATTAAGTTGAACATTCTCAATAAACAACGTTCACATCCATCGTTCATAAGACATTCAATTCATTATCCATTCAAGACTTCAAGCGACGCGCTTTCTCAGATAAAACACAACATTTGAAAATATTTCATGTCCAATTTTACATTTCAGCTGAATTACAAATAGAATACATTAAAACAGTTACCAAATCAGTTGTAATTACATCAAAATCCAAGTTTTTAACAGAAAGAAAAAGTCACCTGGCGAGAGCAGGCCGTTTCCTATCCGGCTGGCCTTCTTCAGCTGAAGACGAATCCAAACTTCGTTTCTCCCTCGCCATGCTATTCGATCTCTCCATGTACCTCGTCTGCATCTTCTTTCACCGTCCTAAAAAACTTAGCCTCCTGTTTGGTTGCTGAGAAAGTGAAAGGAAAAAGAAAAACATCACACAAATACTTCCAAATCACTCAGAGCTAACTTTCACCTTGACTTGAAGATTCAAGATTCAAATTTTCAAAATTCCACTTCCCACACGCAAACACACACACACACCAGTAAACAAACAAAAGTCAACAGAACGACTCGGATTTCAAATCTTCAATTTTCTTCCGTTTTCCGAGCAGCCAAACAACAAAAACCGATCCAAAAACACAAGTCGTTCTCCGCTTTATTCCATGTGCGGTACGTGCGGAATCGAATTCTCGGATAAGGAAAAAAGGAAAAGTAAGAAAAAGCGAGCGGGAAAAAGTGAGAAAAAAAAATGAACCTGAGAAATATTTGAGAGAGGAATCCGAGAAGTTTCCGCGAAGCGTCGGCGAATTTTCTCCCTCGCTAGCGTCTCTGAAACAATTAATGAGAGAAAGAGAGAGGCCTTTTTGTCTCTGTGCTGCGGATACAGCCACTCGCTCGCGCTTTTGTATTTCCTTTCTCTTTCTTTTTTAATTTTCTCGCATTTTCTCTCGATCCAAACAGTGGCGAATCTCTTGTTGCCGCCTGGTCGGTGGCTGAGATCTTTTGCGGGAGGCCATCGGCGGATCGGGACCGTTGGAGCGGTTGAAGTTTGGGAATCTTATGAATTTTTTATGGTTTGGCCCACGTGAGTCTTTGGGTGGACTTGTGTGTTTGTCAGGGTCCGGAGGATCTGTGTGTTTCGGTGATCGTAGCCGTCCGATTTATGATTTTTATTTATTTATTTTATGAAGGGCTTCCGAAGAATGTCAAACATTTTGCTTATGGTATCAAACTTCAATTTTACTTCCTGCAAACTGATAAGATCAAAGCCCAACAGTAGTTACAGGTCCGACCTGAAAATTTGGAAGCCCTGGGCAAGGTTTCGAATAGGGGGCTCAAAACTTCTTTGTCTAGACTCTTTGTACATTGACATGTATAAAAAAATTCGATAAATAAATGAAAAAAATTCATTTCTACACTAGATATTATTAAAAATTAATATAAAAAAAAGATATACAAACATTACTTAAATATTACTCGTTTCGGGTTTTTAGCCGCAAATATACTAATTAAGTTTACATAATCTAATTTTTCAACCAATTCAGACCGAAACAAGTGTGACATCCCACATCTTCCAGGGGGTGGATCCTGTAAGCCTTATATGTATATTCTCATATCTACCTAGCACGAGGTCAGGAGTCCCTACCCAGTACGCTAAATTACAATCATTTTTTTAATTGTTACAATGTTACTTATTACGTTCATTAAATGAATGAACGGTTTGATACAGCTGGGGAAAATATTAAAGTGAAGAGGATAGTTTTCATCTACGTGTAAAACTGTAGTTAATTGTGGATGAGGGGGAAAAAGCAAAAAAAAAAAAAATTGTGAAAAATTATATTATTGCCTCCGATTTTATAATTTGATATTTTTATTAAAACCTTGCATAAGAGTAATTAAGACTTAAACAAAGATGCCCAGATAAGGCTAAAAGAGGATAATGTTAAACACCCATTTTAATAAAAGGTCAAATACAAAGACTCCAAATGCAGCATACAAACAATATTTGGCTACTCAAAAATGAGTAGGAATTCCTACCCAAAACCCTAAGTATTTTAAACACGAGTTTTGTACTTACGATCCGAACCGTTTATACTATGAATCACACTGTAAAGATCATCTTTGCAAAAAATAAATTAAAACTAAGGCTGTTTAGGTAATCTATTGTAACAAATACAAACACGGTTCGTAATGTTTTTACCAATTTCTTTCATTGTTTTTATCTCTTTCACGCTGCAGCTTGGGCCGTGATTTGCGCTTTGCAGCCTTTTTTGGAGGTTTCGTCTTCCTCACAGGTACATTGTGCTTTTTAGAAGCTCCAACTGATTCGGGTAGTCTTTTTGTCTCGATCACTTTCCTCCTCTCGAAAAATCTCATGTGTTGTCACAGTGACTTTCATCTCACCATTGTCATACGTTGTTGTACCTTAAAGCAATACCAAAGGTTAAACCCAAATTCTGATTAAGCATGAGCTGAAGCAATACAGTATGATGAACTGAATCCACACCTACTCATATAAAATCCCAGGGTGGATTCACCAATAAGTTCGTATATGTTTTCACAACTACCAGAACCTTGCAACCCTAGCAAAGCGGAGAACCTTGTTGGCTGGAATCACCCACTATAAAGAAAACATAACTCCCCTTCTTGCGTGCACGATTACTAAGGGTTTTGTGATCGGTCAGAAGTGATGTGATTGTATAGCAAGTAAGAAAGATTAATGCAGTGCCCTAACTTTGTTGCTGTCCTTAATTATTGAGACCTCGTGACGAGAACCTCTTTCTGATATCGGTAAGTTCACAAACTGATCAGTGTCTCATTAAACCAGAGAACCAACCAGTGAAAAGTAAACATTATAGGGTGATCGACAGCAGGGGTTAGCAGCACCAGAGGTCTCACTAATCTCATCATCCTCGTGCTCCTCAACACCCTCATCAACCTCATCAGCTGCTGTATCGATCCCACCACTAAGAACCAGACAGTGAAAACTTAGATTTGTTTGGTCACCAAAAAACAACAGGCAAAAGAGGCAATCAAACGGTTAAAAAAAAAAGCCATAAATCCCAACCTTTTTGCGCAGCTCGAGACGCTTCCGCCGCAGCGCCTCCCCTTGCTTCTTCTCAGCTTCCTTTCTCCTCTTCTTCTTCCTCTTGGGAAACCCAGACACGAAATCGCTCCACGAACCCAAAACAAGAAAACTTCAAAACCCAAAAATTCAAAAAACCCAATTCACAAAATGCGAAAAGAAGCAAACTTCAGAGCTTAGATTTCATCTCTGAGCAAAATTTGTGATGGCGGTTTTTTTACTACCTGAGTTCTTTCTCGTTAAACGTGACGACGAGAGCCTTGTTTTTCAAAGCCCTCTTCTTTATGTGACGGCTTCGGGGATTTACGGACGGAATCGCTTCCTCTTCGACCTTTCCCGCCGCCATTGCACAATCGGCGCTCACCGCGCCCAAGTGCTTGCACTTGTGGTTCAAGAGGCCGGTTCGCGTTCGTTTTCTTCAGTAGATTCGGCTCGGCCCGAAACTTTGGATTTGAGTATCCAGCCCAAAATGGATTTGTATGTTTATATTATGCTATGGACCGTAAAGCCCGAAGACATTTTTTTCCCCTACGGAGTGATCATTTTCTACCGCATTTGAGCCTTCTCACCTTTTAGAGCAGGGATGTGCTATCCACATACCCTATTTTACTTCTCACACACTCTTTGATAATTTTTGTCCGTTGATCTTCTTCAATTCATCCCTTGATAATTTCTGTCCGTTAATCTTCTTCAATTCATCCGATCGGACGGCCGAAAATTAAGAAGGTGTGTGAGAAGTAAAAAAGGGTGTGTGGATATCACACACACCCCTTAGAGCAATTCCACCCCTAAAAACTTTGCGCCAACACCTAGTAAACAAGGCTCTCGTGGATTTTATTAAAATATTATTAAATTTTATTATAAAATAATAATTTGCTTTTTTAATTTATGACTTCTTCTATCTGACTCCATTCTTCTTCTTCTCTTTGACTCCCGTCTTCTTCTTCTTCTTCTTCTTCCCACTTTTTCCACTTTTTTCTTCTCTTTGTACACCACGTTGTCGAACCCACCCTACTTTGAACATGGACACCCACCATCTTGGACCTGCGCACACTGTAAACCCCCAAAAATCAACACCTACATATTCAAAAATTCATCGAAAATATACAAAACGGAAAAACAAAATTCCAATTGCAGGAAGATCCGAGTTAATCAATCGATCGACGACAATCCAAGTTGTAGGAAGATCACGATTTGGAAGGGGACATGGTGTTGAATATATGGATTTATCAGGGGAAGGGGGTTGATGGGTTCCAGGGATCGGGATAGGGTTCCAGACGTCGGATAGGGTTCCAGATGAGAGAGACGATAACCATGACGTTAGCATGGCATCAAATGAGCCGTCTCCTTCCTCTGTCGATTTTAGGCGGGCTTGTGGACTGACTTGAGCTGGGTGCTAGTCTATTCCACGGGCTATAGTGGATTGGCTGAGTCTCAGCCTTTCCAATGGGTGCCGGCCTCTTTTGCTTCCGGTGGAAATGCTCTTATTTAGCCTAATCAAATTTCTTGAATACGGATCCTCTTTGTGAGGATTCTGATGATTCTTGAATCGTGTCCGTTTATTATATATTGTGCGGTCAGTACTCATTTTAAATATTTTTATTTAAAATTAAAGACAAACAGTACCTGACAAAAATGACCACATAATATATGATGAACGAATACGATTCACATATCTCATGATCCTCACCAAAAGAATCCGGAGAGAATCTTGTTGGAAATTTCTTTACAAGAATTGGGACTCTAGGAAGAAGCATCGGCTAACTCCACACCAACAACTGTGGCAAGTCACCTAGGCAGTGAATCGGGTTGAAAGTGAAAGATTAGTAATTTAAAATTTCTTAACGTAACCACTACTCATTTGGCTCATTGTTGTTGGGTATATATCGTGTTGAGAATTCCTGTGTCATATTTTACTTTACAAAAACGAAAAAAGTGATTCGAATTCAAATGTATAGAGGAGAGCACATTCATTTTACTTAAACAAATACTTTTTGCATATTAAGCGTTAAAATGAGGACATACGATATTTGGATAATTACACATACATCCTCTCGTATTTATTCATGTATGCTTCACAAATATTGTGGCTTTTATATATATATATATATATATATATATCTCTCTCTCTCTCTCTCTCTTTCTCTCTCTCTCTCTCTCTCTCTCTCTCTCTCTCTCTCTCTCTCTCTCTCTCTCTCTCTCTCTCCCCCCCCTCGCGTAGTGTTCAATCCGATATAGAAACAACCATTGAAATTTGAATCCACTCTCTCTCTCTCTCCTGTAATTGTTATTTTTTTCTTTCAAATTACTATAAAAGTATTTTATTTTTGGAAAATTAACTAAAAGAGTAAATTCGTCATTTAGGGTTGTGTGAAAATAAATTAAACTTTATGGAGTATATGTGTAATCAATATCCGAAATGCCGATAATATCGGCGATATTTCGCCTATATTATCGGTTTTTCACGTTACCGATATTTTAATAGGTATCAAACGGGTTTTCGTCAAAATATCGCGATATTAGCGATAATATCACCGAGGCTCCGTCGTCGCAACGGCAGCCGAGGCTCCGTCGTCACAACTGCCAAGATATGTGCCTCTCTCTGCAATCCACACTTAGACCCATCAAAATGAGCAATCCCTTTTCTCCGGAGGTGGCCGGAATATGGGTTGGGTGTCCTTGGGGTCATCGGGGTTCCTCTGCGCGTCGTTGTGCTTTCCCAGAGACGGAGGAGAGGGAGGGAGAGTTCAGGAGGGTGGTGGAGATGCTGCGCTGGCATCGGGGTGGACGAATTTGGGTGTGCCTGGGTGTGGGTGAGATCGGGGAAATGGAGTCCTCTATGTAATTAATCCTATAAATGACATTTCCTTTGAAACCCTTCTACTATAAACCAATTCAAATTTGCATAGTATCCCAAATGGAAGATAAATTTAGGGGGTAGGATTCTCTCTCCTCTAAATTCCCCTTCCTTCTGTCCCCTCCTCTCTTATTTTCCTTTTTGTTTTTTTTCTCTTTATAAAAAAGTCAACACAAGATGTTAACGTAACTTAAATGTAACTGTTCAAATAAAATGAGAGAAAAATATAAGAAAATTTGACGTGAAGAGAATCCAACTCCGAAATTTAGATACAAGGACTCTCTAATTAAAGCAAATATACCCGACGAAAACGACGTAATGTCAAAATTTAAGAAGCGAATCGCGTTATCAGACAACTCTACTGGGCCATACCCAAGGACAAGTCACAAGTCATTCAATCTCGTGCACAACAATTGGATATAAACTTTGGGCCCAACGCCTCTTTTCTTCATCTTTTGTGGTACCCACAAAAGCTCAACGATGCTTTGCTTGCAACTAATTTCAGTTTTTTTCTTTCTGGTTTTTCGGTAATTTTAATTTGCAACCGACTTCGGTTTCACATTAAACCCGGTTCGCTTTCGTCCAACCGAACCCGTTTCTCCGCCAACCAGCACATAAGAATAAAGAACCCACATCAGACTTTTCAGGCCCCCAAACCAAAACCCCTCAACTACCCCGGAAGACTTGAACGACAATCCAAACATGGACCGACCCGGACCCGAGTCTGCTCCCCCGCAACCCCTACTTTCCGACCGGGTCCTCATAAGCGGCGTCGTCACACCCGTGGCTCTATTCTCCGACGGAGTGCTCCAGTGGTCGGAGAGAAGTCAACGGAGCTTGATCGTCGAGAAGGAGGTCCTGGGGTTCGCGGCGGAAGGTCCGAAGATTAGGATAAGAGCTTTTGTGGAAGGCGGAGCTGGAATCTGCTGTGGCGCGAACAGAGGAGCTGTGGCGAGGAAGGACTTGGTGTTCGAGCCTCTCTCTGAGGACTCGCACAGGCTCTGGTGCCAGAAGCTCGGGGATTACATCGATTCTCTCGGTAATTTAATTTGTAATCGGCTTGCGTCGTGTTTGGTTGATAGGAAAATGCAGGAAAATGAAACGAATATTTGGAAAAAGTTTGACTTTTCACTTCTGGGTGTTTGACCGTTGCGAGATTATTTTGAATTTCCGTTGTTCTCGTTCTAATTTCTTAACTCAAGCTCGTTTTACTCTAATGATCACTTAAGCGAGATTAATTATTGAAAATAACATGAATTTATGGTTTATTGTTACTTTCTTGCGTATATGGTGATAATATAGGTGGTAATTTATCCTCTTTTGCACAGGACGGCCAAAGAGGCTGTTGTTTTTGTGAATCCGTTTGGTGGTAGCAAATCTGCTTCAAAGATTTATGTTGATCACGTAAAACCTCTTTTCGAGGATGCCGATATCCAATTTACGCTGCAAGGTTAGGAATTTCCTTCAATGTTTTGCTTATTAGTTAATAGTTGATGTGTGGTACTGAATTTTGGATCTGTGAATTGCCAGTCGAGTTAGGGTTTCCCTTTTCGTAATTGGTTTTTTATTGAATTTTCAGAAACTCAATATCAACTACATGCGAAGGAAGTTGTGAAAACACTAGATCTTTCAAAGTATGATGGCATTGTTTGTGTTAGTGGGGACGGAATCTTGGTTGAGGTCGGTTTCCAATGATCAGTGGCTATGTGCATATGATTTCGTTGCAGCTATAAGAAACATGAGCAATGCAATATTGTGATTGAGCACATGACTCTGTCGAGGAATCAAATTACTTACACTGACGAACTTTGTTTTATTTCTCTTTTCCCTCAATGAAGTTAGATTTTGTTTGCAGGGAGAGCTGCTGGTAATTTGGTAAACGTAGTGTTATGTTTTTTGAGCAAACGTTAAGCTGTGATGGTTTTTAACTGAATTAAGTTGTGTTATTAGACTGTAAAACAAATATAATCTCATGAAGAGTGCTTTTTTTATAGTACATTGTTTGTCTTCAGAATTATGTGCTTATATTAAGCTTATGATTTTCTTCTTACAAGCATTGCACTTTTTAGTAGGTAGTAAATGGACTCCTAGAGAGAGATGATTGGGACGCTGCAATAAAGATTCCTCTTGGAGTAGTTCCTGCAGGTTCCGTACTCTTTATTTCTCAATTTTCTTTGTATTTAACAAAACATTTCTCGGATAATTAGGTTGATCATTCATGTTATAAAAGGTGAGGGCAAACTTTGCTAGTTTGCTTCAAACAGAGATAGTTATTAGTCTGTTTTTTGTTTTTAAAGTTAATTTCTGACGAGATTCTCTTCATTAGGTACTGGAAATGGAATGGCAAAATCTCTTTTGGATTCTGTTGGTGAACCTTGTACACCATCTAATGCTGTCCTCGCCATTATTCGAGGTATATATGCTGTCTGTCTATCGTTATACTGTGCTCAAAACATTATGATTGCACCCTTTCTCTTCCTATGTTGGTAATTCTTTTGATTAATGAGTTTTTCTTCTTTATGGTTTATTTACGGTCAGGGCATAAGCGTTCACTGGATGTAGCTACCATCTGCCAGGGGAAGATGAAATTCTTCAGTGTATTGATGCTTGCATGGGGTAATTCAAAAGTATCACCCCACTGGATAGTGGAATTAATACTTAAGTGAAGTAGAGTTTCTAATCGTACTGGCAGAATTCCTATCAGAATTTCTGGTTCTTGCTGCAACTGAAAAATGTAATATGTTACCAATAAAGCTTTATCTGCTTTCAGGTTTAGTGGCAGATGTTGACATTGAGTCTGAGAAATATAGGTGGATGGGAAGTGCTCGACTAGATTTCTATGTAAGTGTACACCTCTCATTTGTTATGGTCTAGTTTACTGGATTACTCCGTTGCTAATGCAGATGTTCATGTTTAATTAATCTGATGTTGGGATGGTATTGAATGGCAAGACACTAATAATTGTCTATGTATTTTAGGCTGTTCAACGTATTGTGCATTTGAGGCAATATAATGGATCTATCTCCTTTGTGCCTGCACCTGGCTTTGAAACTTACGGAGAGCCTACTAGTTACAGTAATGCCAGTGAACCTACCAACCAACACAATGCAGGTGCTCCAAATCAAGAGGAGCCTATTAGCATTCGACAGCATGGCTATCCAGGGCCTGATATTAACTTGGCTAGCATGGACTGGAGAACTATTAGCGGACCTTTCGTTTCCATCTGGCTTCACAATGTGCCTTGGGGTGGTGAAGACACAAAGGCAGCTCCTGATGCCAAGGTTGGACAGTAAAATTGTTTAGCATCTCTTTCAGATACTGCTCCACTTATACTGTTTTGGGATATTTATTTAAAACTCAAATAATTCACCACGTATTTGTGCTCCTTTGCAGTTCTCGGATGGTTATATAGACGTGATAATGATGAGGGTCTGTCCAAAATTATCATTGCTCTCGTTGATGTCTGGGTTGAGCACAGGAAGCCATATCAAATCACCATATGTCCTGTACTTCAAGGTCAGCAAAATCAAACTATCGAACATTTACTTTGATTTAAGATTTTGTCTACCTTTTGGTAAATAAGAAGCTTTAATGCCTTTTCGCTTCTGTTTATGTTATTTATTATCTTGCGACATTCTGCAGGTGAAAGCATTTATTTTGCAACCTGGTCCTCTCACCGAGGACCCAACTAAGGAAGGGATAATCGACTCAGATGGCGAGGTCCTGGCTAGAGGCAAAGGAGCATACAAATGTGACCAGAAGACATTGATGGTCTACGATAAACTTCAAGTAACTGTGGATCAAGGTTTAGCTACTCTGTTTTCCCCGGTATAGGATGAACTATTTTTTATCACAAATTCGATTTTGGTAACAGTGAGAAATTCCGAGCAGAAAAAATTTGTCATCCAACCCATACGTGTAAAAATCCGCAAGGAGGATACAAGGGATTCAGATCGATGAGGCATATTCTCAGCAACTTGCTTGCCGATAAGTTATTTTGCAATAGCCACTGATTGTTGTCGATGTAGCGTGCAGTTTATCTTTCACTCTTTTTGCTTTGATTTTTCAATTTCTTTTGTTTCGAAACAGATTTGTAGTACAGGAATGTATAGGCCGCTGTGGTCGATACAGAGACGATTTGTATTCGACTAGTGTAATACTTGTATACATTTGTTCATCTTAATAAAAATCTGAAGCCCTTGTGTGAAATGCAGATTGCTGTTTCACTTTGCTTGTGAGATAATGTGGTACAAATTTCTTCGTTGTCTCTGGTATGCTAAATATTTGGATTTTTATTTTCTTTTTCTGAATGCATGAAAATGGCTTTTTGCACACAACTGGGGGAAGAACTTGGGAAGGGCTGCCTGGCAGCGCTGTCAAATGAGAGATTTTATCGTGTAATCGGTTGTGTATTTATGTATATTTATTTGTCTCATCACGTTACACAAAAGATTTCCCCTCACAAGAGCAGAGCCGGCCCTGATTTTGTGCAAAAGGTGCCACTACACATGACCCCGATTCGGAAGGGCCCCCAAATTTTCTTTACATGTAAACAAATACATATTATATACTTAAATGTGCAAGATAATGATAATTAGAGTATCAGTGCTACTGGTGTAGGCCTTCAATCTTCTTGTATTTGGTCTAGGTTTGAGTCCTTGTGGAACTATTTTGATATTTTTAAGTTTTGCAAATTTATTGAACTTAAAAAGTTAGATAAGTTTTACACAAAAAATCATGCAACCTTTCAACTATTTTGCTATTTTTAAGTTTTACAAATTTATTAACTTAAAAAGTTGATAAGTTTTACATAAAAAACCATGCAACATATTTCAAACTGAAGACATTTCAAGACAAGAAACAATATTGTCCACTCAAATAATACTTATAATTTGGTACTCTAATTTGTAGTATTTAAATTTTATAGATACAAAATGAAAAAAATAAAATAACAAAGAAAATACAATATTAAAAAAGATGAAGGATCTCCATCTAAATTTTGTACGTGACCCCTAAATTGTTAGATCCGGCCCTACACAAGAGTAGACCGGCTTGAGAACGGGAGCTTGGGACCAAAACGCTTGGAGGTTTCGTACTTGTATTTATGACTTGGTCGAACGGTCCAATTGGTAGGGCTGTTTGGCGGAAGATTTTCCGACAATTTAGATACCTAAACCTGAGATTTGCTCATTTAATCCCTTGACGTAATCTTTAATACAACAGATAGACATATCCCCTAGGCCAAACAGTTGTTTAATTTTACCAAATAATCCAAGTCAACATGTCAAGTGATTCAGATTCGTATTTTACACGGCACGTTTTATGTTTAATTCTTAATGCTGACGGATCACATGATAATACCAGAAAATAAAAAACTAAATATCTCTGTAAATCTTTCTAACTCTCGAAGAAGAGAATTATTATGACAAAGTCATACACTGGTTAAACAAAACATGAATAAGAATATTTGAATAACTATAACGTTTAATTAAATGCAAGATGTGATAATGATGACAGGAAATGCGTCATTCTGTCATACATAATTATATATGTCATAGGTTCATCATGTCGGATGTCTTCACTCGAAAAGGAATCATGTGGTCCAAATCATTCGAGATAAATGCTAGGCAACTCTTTCGAAAAAATAGAATTTTTCATAAATTTTTTGTTATTTCATAATTTAATATTAATTTTTGTGTTAATATAATAAATTAATATATAAAGAACATAAGATGATTGACAAATAGTTCATAAAAAGTCTCACGCAAATATAATTTGTAACCTGTGTTACAAGTCGGGTTACATAACCCACCAAATTTTGGGTTTGTAGTCCATCTTGTCTAATCCCTTCCAACTTATATTTAGCACCATCAAACATTAGACTTGGACTCATAACCATTTTAATTGGCTATAATCTATCACATTCAGTCCACCAAACGAGCCTTTAGATTTGACATTTATGGTTACTAATTAACCCGCGCATTGTAAATGCATCAATAAGTCAAGGAAAATATGATGATTTCTCTTGAACGAAGAGATTCTCGTTATAACATATAGTGTTGTCTTAATTCACTTATGTTTTAACATAATATATTTATTCATAATAGATGGTGAGTTTGCTTGATTATGGTCACGGGCAAGTTGAAATTCTTGATAGCCTCTTCGACCCGAAAGGAGTGGATAACCATGATTTTTCATCAGTTATCCCCTTTTTATATATAAAAAAAAAATTGTAAAACACGAACCAAGTCATCCAACTCATATATTATTACATATAGTGTTATCTTATTAAACAAGACTAATTCATTATATTCCATTTTCGTAAAACGCACTGATTTTGGCAAGACCAACGTGTATAATGTATGCATTCCATCCATCCTTGGCATGTAATATACCTTGCAAAACAAGTAGCATTCACACATATGCATATATCTCAAGGTTGGTGATATTCATACACTCATTTTTACCTTCTACGCACTGCTTATTAATTTTCATCATTTGATATTCTTTAATTCATTCAATTCAACGATCAAAAAATAAAAAAATGTGTGCAAGATAAAAAGAGGTGTGGATATTGGATAGCACCACCCTATCTCAATCATCACTTGCTTTTGAGTTTGTAGTTTTCTTACAAAACACGTACAGTCCTAAAACCTACACATACAGACACCACCAAGCAATCGACCTCTTTTATTCAGCCTATCCCCTCTTTATTTTATATTTTATTTTCTTCAATTTTTACGTATCGGTCGATGGGTTTGACAAATAAACCAGCTAAGCCAAAAGTAGTACTATACATACATACATACATATATATATATAATCATATAATGTGTTTGGTATTATCTGTTGCATGTTTCATATATATATATATATATATATATATATATATATGACATGCAAACTGACCCGAAAAGCTTCTTATCTCTTTCACACATGCAAGAAGACATGTGGCTACCCGCCAGTGCCCGATCACTAAATTGCAAAACTTAATTGTTAGGCTTGCTCTTACTCCTAGGAACATTGTTAGATATGGCCGAAGACTCTTTGCTAACCTCTAATATTGACTCACATATATAAACAAGCTTAATATATACTCATCACGATGTAATCGATACATGTTTCATTCATGACGTACGTTCCGACTCGACGTTGCCAATCTATTCAACTTGTAATATAATCATACGACAATGTTTGTTCATGTCATGTCAGTTCTAAATTAAGTGATTTTTTGCGCATATATATAATATTGATAAAGAGAATGAACAATTCTAATTATAAAATTAGTACGTAAATTAAAAACTAACACTTTCGTAAAAGTATACAATAATCATTTTTCATATATATTAAATTAAAAGTAAATATGACTCATTACGTGTAAAAGACCAAAAACCTTCTTATTCCAAACAAAAATATCATAATGAGTAAAAACAAAAGGGAGAGACATTGTAGCCCAAAAAACCCAAAAACCCACCAAGAAGGAAGAACGCAGTCGTTTAAAAGTGGGAAATGGAAGCCGACGTCGAACCAACAAGTCCGCAGAAGTAGAGGTAGATTGTCTGCTCTCTTGGATGTCCTTTTTATCTCATTCTATTTTGTACGGTTACGGTTAAATTATGTTAACATTTTATATTAATTTTTTTATAATGATAATAAGATAAAAAGTAATAAAAATATAAAATATTAACGTGCATATAAATAAGAGGGATGAAAAAGTCACCCGAGGGTAGACAATCTGCTTCCGCAGAAGTGGGCGTTACGTGATTGCATGACCTTTTGCGGGCCATGCACATGATTATTCTCCACACCGCTCATACCTTCTAAGCGACCAAAATTCTCTACCCCCGCGCGCGAGTACATAAACCTCGCAACTCGCTCTCCCACTAGTCCAACCAAGTCAATATGTACCGAAATTACCGATGTACCCCTGCATCGTTAGCTCAGGTGGGCATTCACGTCAGTGGCTTGTCAGATAAAATGGAATTTTTGGGTCAATGCCCGCGACAAGAATGACTTCCGAGAAACGACGACGGCAAAACGACCGACGTGATTTTAAATCCTGTTTTAACCTTCAATTTTTATTTTTATTTTTATAACATGGATAATACATATATACGTTCTCTTATACTTGAATTCGAATATGAATTAATCCAGCTAAATCGAACATTAGTGTTTCATCATTTGCACTCGAGTTCGACCATATATTTTGTCAGATTGCTTGGCTCAATGTACATTTTGCTCTTTAATTCAGTTTCGGTAAGTAAATATTCATTGTAAGTTTGGAAAGATAGTTAAATATAGTAATGCGTTAGCCGTATTTAACTTACGAGTCATTATTTTGATGGTAAAAAATAATGTGTTTGTTCTTTTACATGTGAATTCGATAAGTATTCCTTAAAGATTTTTAGGGTAATTATTTAGTTGTGAATTAAGCTTGTTAACTATCTCATTACGACGTATTTATAAAAAAAGGAAAAGAAAAAAAAGAAGCATTTTCAACCAAAAAAAAAAAATACTTTTTTTCTCCTCTCTCTAAAACCCTCTCCAACTCTTTCTGTCAGTGTCTCTCGTGCTATATGATTACGTACAGATCAGGCGGAAACCACTGTATTTCCATTTCTTTACCGCGTCCTCTCTCACTACTTTCTCTCTCTACAACTCCTCCGCTGCTTAATTTCTAGGTTTTAGCTTCTTATAAACGGGGCTTCCCCGATGTCGTCGTCTTCGTCGTCTTCCAAGGTCTGCTACAATTCTGAGTGCAAGGAGGTGAAATCGGAGTTTCCGAGAAAGGGCTGGCGGCTCCGGACTGGCGAGTACTGCGAGCTCTGCGATCGGTGCTAGTAAGTCAAGCATTTTCCATTCCATTTCTCTCTTAATGTTTTTGAATTTCTATTTTTGTACTCGTTCGGTGGTTTTTCTTGGGTATATCTCCGCTGCCTTCTGAACTCTGCTTGCTTCAACTTACTGCTTCGTGCGACGTCATTAGGGTTTCGTTGGTTGATTTGAAATCGAGCTTAGGGTTTTAGGAGTGGGTTTTTTTGGTGGGAATTTGCTAAATTTGGAGCATGTCGTGGCGTTATGCGCAGCAAGATTGGGTTTTTTTTGAAGGGTAGTTTGGGAACACCGGCTTTTGCTCCATTTTCTTCATTTAGTCTTTCGAATTCGATTGAGGGAGATGAATAGCTTGACTTGTATTTAGTAAAATGCGTTTGA